CCCCAGAAAACAACGCTTTAGTCAAAACGAGCCATTCGTTATAGTTCTTGAAAAGGGATTTTTAAAAAAAAAAAACGAAATATCTCCCTTTGGAGTGGAGTTTGAGATTTGTAACTTTCTAGATCTTTTTTATGCCCAATCATACACACTACACACTGACTAAAATTAAAAAAGTGAAAAAGCATAATAGGACCCCTTTAAATTAGATATATATTTAAATTAGTAGATGTTTTTGTTGCACTCTGAGCAGTTATAAAATGAGGACAAATAAACAAGCACAAATTTACACTAAATAACCCTAGTAAAAACATAAATTGCTCCAATCGTAAAATGTAAAGCAAAGTGACAAACAAATATTTCTGTATAAAATTCTGTAAAATGTTAATCGGATTAAATAAAACTGAAGAAATGATCAAACTAGTTCATAAACTAGAACATTTTAAATCTAAAAAAACTTTAAAAAGCTATTGAAGAAACTAATGAATGTCAAGTCAACAGCTGTGCTGCTTAAATACGTGCTAGATTATATAAGCAAAAAACTTTTTTACTAATGCAAATTGAGTCTACTTTTTCTTGTTTCTTCTTTTCTTTTGCATGCTGCTGCTCAGTCTACCATGTCTCTGTTCATTTTCCTAATGGATTTCTCACTGCTCACATTGGCAGTTCTGTTCCTTAGCCATCAGCAGTTTTCTTAGTGATAAATCTGTAAAGGGGAGGGGCAGCACGTATAAAATGACTGTTACTCAGGGTTTCTCGAGAGATCATGATTAATGGAATCGTTGCTAATTTGTTAATTCATTTATTCGTTTTACTTGAGTGGAATGCATAATCAACACAGGAGTTGAATTTTTTTGCCCTCTCTGTCTTACAGAGACATTAGTAGACTCGCACAGCGAGGAATCCGACTCGGATCAGTCAGACGTGCCTGAGATGGACTCTGAAATTGAACAGGAAACACAACTTACTTACCGACGACAGGTCTGTGATGACATGGTTAAAAAAGACATTGTTTAATACATGATCATCAAAACCTGATGGGAGGTCCTCCCTTGGGTCTGAATTCCTTAACACATTCTCCTCAGTTGTGTGTTTTGGGAGGTTTATGATGATGTTTTTTGGCCCAGGTTTACAAAGAAGATCTACCTCAGCTCAAAGAGCAGTGTAAGGAGAAGCATCGTGCCATGGCTATGAAGAAAAGGGAACGAGCTCCAGCCAGTGGATTGAGGTTGCACTTTATTCATGGGTAAGTGCTTCAATAGATCCCAAACAGCATTGACAGCCATCGTGGTTTCTTATTTGAGGAGCTCTCAAAGTACTGAACAGATAGCAAATAAATCATTACTCTCCAATGTCTGTCTCCCAAACATAAACATATAGTGTACTGTTTGTACTAGTGCTGTCAAATGATTAATCGTGATTAATCGCATACAAAATTAAAGTTTTTGTTTGCATAATATATGTGTGTGTTCTGTGTATATTTATTATGTATATATAAACACACACACACACACACACACACATACAGTATATATTTTGAAAATATTTACATGTATTTACATGTCTATATTTATATTCATATAATTTATATTATAAATAAATATATTTAATATATAAACATAACCTATTTTTCTTAAATATATACATGCATGTGTGTGTATTTATATATATATACATAATAAATATACACAACACACGTACATATATCATGTAAACAAAAACCTTTTAATCGTGATTAATCATTTGACAGCACTAGACTTTGTACACAAACCAGCAACCACGTTACAAACAGCCTGACCACTGTGACCTGCTTTTTTATACAAGGACTTTTTTGTTGTTGTTAATTATTATTACACTTATTTACAGTATTTATAATATAATGTAATGTAATGTAATATATGTTATGATATGATGAGGAAGTAGAATAGCAACAATTATTCTTAAACACCAGAAGAACAACAACTGACAACTAATGCTTGAAAAATAACTAACATTTAATAGTCTTAATAATATTAATTTAAATAATTCAACATTTTTGATATTTAAATATTAATATTAATATCAGTGTAATATTAATATTATGAGTGGACCTCAGAGAAACAAATAAAACATTGAAAACAGTGGGTGATAATTTTAAATAAATGTAATATTATTTTTAATTTTTTAAATTATTTTAGTGCAGTCAAACGATTAATCGCATCCAAAATAAATATTTTTGTTTTCATAATATATGTGTGTGTAATGTATATATTTATTATGTATATATAAATACACACACATGCATGTATATATTTAAGAAAAACAAGTTATGTTTATATATAAAATATTAATAATTATGTATAATATAAATTATGTATGAATATAAAAATATATACATGTAAATATGTGTAAAATATATACATGTATGTTTGTGTATTTATATATACATAATAAATATACACAGTACACACATATATATTTTGTATTGAGTATCTGCTGATACTGAGTCCTGATCCAATACTTGTATTTTCCTAGTGCTTGGTGCACAATTCAAGTACATTAAAGTCATAAAGTTATTCAAACTTCATCTTTCAAACAATCCAAATTATACAGGGATGTGCAGAGTATCTCAGAGACAGGGGCTCATGTAAATAATTACAATTAACAAGTTACTACAGTAATATGTAACGTCAGTGTTCGAACTATACCGTGGACTTTGGGGGAGCCCACTTTTTTTTTTTTTTTATAACGGGGGGGGGGTTTGTGCGCTTGCGCGTGGGGCTTACAATGACTTACAACGATACATAACAGCTACATAAGCACTATATAGGATAAATCACTATACAGGATTTACCCTATTATACTTTATCGACACGAATTAATAGGTGAAACAACAAACAGCCACCCACAAATAGTCTATATACAAAGCCTGATGCTTTGAGTTCACATGAACAACGGTTAAAGTTACTCATCGTCAGGCTACAGAAGAATACCATACTTCCTCCGTTCAATTAGGCCTAAGACATTGCAGACCTATAACAACCCAGCCACAACACATAATTGCGAACAACATGCCTTACCTTAACACAGAATCGACCACAGAGTCCAACGTTTATATTTTTTCTACGAATCTTTGAGTTAACGTTTACTAAACATGAGTGGAATTTGCACCGCAGCGCCCCCACATCTGGATGCTCATGACAAGAATAGCATGTATAGTTATCTTTATTGAAGTGAATTAGGTTTAAATCGCCGTCATGCATGAATGAATGATATTTTTGCAATTTTACACATAATAATCCACGATGATCACATTACACAAAACTGAAATTGCACGTCAAAATAACACATTGTCAGTATTTTTTGAGGCCCCCCTAAATTTCACAAATCACGTTTTCAGGGGAGTCCATGTCTTATTAAGGGGAGCCGAGCTCCCCCTAGCTCCTCCGTAGTTCGCACCCTGTATAACGTCATCTCAAATAGTCTGACGGCAGATAAAAGTAAGCAGTAAATAAATGACTGTCGAGTGATTTGTTACTAAATTGCACATCAAATACGTTAAACACGGAAGGTGCTAGAACAGACCTTGTTCTAAGATGAACCTTAGTCACCCTTAGAGACTATAGAGCAGTCGAGGTCAGTTCACACATCTTATAAAGGTTGTCTCCAGGTTGATGTTCTTTGACTTTACCAATACCTTCAAGATCAGCCTGCCTCTCTGACTCAGACGAAGCTCAGAGTGATGCATGTGGACACCCCCACAGTCTGCTGGATTATTAGACCTTTCTGACAGCCTCCAGCTGTGTTCTGGAGGAGATGGTTACCAACGCTGAGGTGTCTCAGGAGCCGTGCTGTCTGCTTTCCTTTTCACCCTTTATATGGCAGACTGAAGGTTGTTAAAACCAGCTTACGCCACAAGCTCATGCTTTCCAGCTGCTCTGAAATAAGTTGGAGTGCAGGAAGAAAGTGCTGTTCACGTGTGGAAGTTGTGCTGGAAGATGGACTGGGTTTAACTCACAACACAGCTGGCCATCAGTTTTGGTCTTTTAAAGCTCAAATGTGCTAATCCTTCTCAGAAACCCTCAGATGAACTCAAAGGCCTTCAATGACAACCACAGCTGCATCCAAACCAAGGTGAACTGCAAATGTGTAGCATTTGTTTCAAATGCATCCGTAGGTCATCAGATGGATTGAGGGTTACGGATTAAAGTCTAAGAACAGTAAGCATTGTAATTGCAATGTTGCAGCTGTGCATTGCCTACTAAAGTAGACCTGGATCTGCTTTTAGTGGATGAAGAGATGATGCTGAGAAAAAAATTCAGTGGTTTACAGAAGCAAGTCATAGATATGTATAGGTAGATGCCACATTCCACCGCTCCAGACATGTTGATGCATCCGCCATCTTGGACTGGTCGATGTGCCATCACTTAACAATAAAAATTAATGAGTTTTGTCAATCAATGAGATTCCACACCATTGCACAGCCTCTGGTTGTAAAAACCACCAACATTTAAATTCCCAAAGAGACTGGATAAACTTTCACAGGTAAGAATGTGTTGGTTTGTGTTTTTAATATGTATTAACTCAATATTGCAGCTTTTTAAGCTATTGTTTATTGTGTTAGTTTGCTGTATTGTGTTAGTTTAGCAAAATCATCTGTTAAAGTCTATTGCAGATATAGATATTCATACATGCGTATAACTGGGGTTGCAAACACACAAGGAAACTTGCCCTTCAGTGTTCACTAACCGGCTTTGACTGTTCCAGTACGATGGACGTCTTATGTATCTACCTAAACATTTCTATGGTGAAAATTCATCTTTGCATCATCCTTGACCTCATAATGCTTCATCAAAATGTCATGGATGTTCTGGTGAAAGTGACAGATTTCTCTCTGGTGATGTGCTTGTCCAGTCATTTACCCCGTCCCTGCTTTGAAGTGCAACGGCTATATCGCAAGATTCAATCAACCAACAATGCACAGAACCAAGTCCTTGCCCTACATTTATTTCATTTTCAATAATCACAATACAGAAGAAAATATATTATGAAGAAAATACATTTCTGTTTCGTCTCGACTTCAAAAACCGTCTTTGCAGAGTCTCTTGGTAGATTTGTAGACATGCAGTTTTTAATAAAGTATGTAACCCTTCTATTGGTATTTATGTATTCAGTTGGCGCACAGGAGCCTGATGTCCCAGCTGCATGATAGATTGAGAATTAGGCTGAAAATTAACTTATGGTTTCTCTTACTAAAGTACAATTCAAAAGTAGTAGAAATATCTACGGCCTCCAAAAATGTACAGTTAGTCAGTAAAACCTTAATAAATCCCAGAATGTTTATCTCAGATTAATAAAAATGATTGATTACACTAAACCAATATCAAGAAAATAAGATAATCACAATAAAATACCTCACATTATGAAATAAAATTATTCCCAAATTTGTTGTCTTGTGTCTCTTTTAAACCACAATGACCCTTGTCTACGTGAATAAACAAACAATGAGGGGGATCTTCAAATCGCAACAATCAGTCACAGACAAGTACAGAATTTTCTGTATCACAGCAATCGACTACTAAATGAATCACCCTGTTCGGTTCCTTTCAACGATTCAGTGTAGACGTGGAAGTGAACTGAATCAGCAGTCAATGAATTTCAATCCGGCAACAGTTTAGTCAGTTCAAACAGAAAAGTCACAAATGTAGAAATACCCGGGTATTTTTACTAGTTGGGGCCCTTTATCGTTGGTGCACGTATGGCATCAGTTCGGCAACAATAAGGTATATTCAGATGCATTCGCATTACTCACGAATCTGTGCAATTCTCACTCAGCAACACAGTGATTTCTCCGGCAAAATCCCTTTTTTCCTGCAATATCATCCCTGAGGAAGGCATTAAGAGTTGTAGTAGATCGCAGTTCCACTGGTGGAGAGAGCGAACAAAGGAAGTCTTTGCTGTAGTCTATCTGGTTTCCCGTGGCAGCCGTGTCCCAAACCTTCCAGGCCTGCTGTTCAGCAACGATCAATTTAGTCGACGGATTTCAAATCAAAACGACTAAAATGCCGGTCACACCCACAGAGCATTTAACTATTTAACAGTTATACTTGTTATACCCTTGCTAACTAAACTTAATCAGAATATTTCCAGATATCATTAGTCTCCGTGTGCGAAAAAACAGCTGCATCACGATTCTCCTTGCTCTTCTTCTTTGTTGCTGTGTGTGTGTTTTTTTTTAATAATATTCAATTTTTTTTTTAAATTTCAATTGAGTGACTTATTCAGTGACTCACTCAAGATTTAAAAAAGCTTTCACGTGTCGCCACCTACTGGCTTAATCATGTTACAGAGTAAATTGTTTTGGTAAATGGAAACATCCAAATTCACTTGAAAACAGTTTCATTCAGACAGATATGTACATCCATGCATAACAAAAAGTGACTTATTTTAGGAAATTGTGAGCTATGGTTGAGGAAATACTTGTAATAAATGTGTGTGTAAATGTGTGTTTCAGTTACAGAGGTTATGACTGCAGAAGTAACCTCTTCTACACTCAGACCGGTGAGATTGTGTATCATGTGGCGGCTGTGGGAGTGGTGTACAACAGACAGCAGAACACACAGCGCTTTTACCTGGGCCATGATGATGACATCCTCTGCCTGGCCATCCACCCCATCAAAGACTATGTAGCCACAGGCCAGGTACAGTCAGCTGCATAAACGCCTGTCTGTGTCATCAACAGCATACAGAGCAGAGATATATATCTAGTGAATACATCAAAAATACTTCAGTTCACTTTATGGTCGCATTATGGTCAGGGCACATTAACATCAGTGTTTGTTTCTTATCCAGGTGGGCCGTGACTCTTCTATTCATGTATGGGAAACAGAGTTTTTGAAGCCATTGTCTGTTCTTAAAGGATTCCACCAGTTTGGGGTCTGTGCACTTGACTTCTCAGGTATGCAGTGCTAATTAGTACTAGGGTTGCCAACTGTCCCGTATATTGGGCTTAATTGATGTGTCCCGTACGTGATCTCCCTTGTCCCGTTTGTTGACTGCTACGCTGATCTAACCATTGACTGATGCAACAGCAGCAGTGCTGATCACGACACTTGAGAATGATCACCGTCACCTGTCATCATCCAATCACAGCCACTCCCACACGCAGTATATGTAGAGGAAGGCTGCAGAATCCTCTGCTGGCTGGTCGCTCCCACTTTACAGCAAGCGGCGGTCACGCTAATGCCAGTTCCCTTGTTGTTTTGACTTCAGCAAATCAGTTTTGGCGAATGCAAACAACGTTATTATTTTTCATGAGTCCAACATCCAGCCGAGCATAAAAACTTGCAATCTACCTGAGCCGTGATCAGTAAGGAATTTGTCTTTCACTATTGTAATGTTGTTAAATAGAGAAAAACATTTTACATTTAAGTAACTTCTAGCATATTCTTAACCTTGGACCTTATTCTTGAAACACAAAAATGACCAATAAAAAAAGTGTAGCCCATATCAAATCTATAAGTCGTCTTTAATACACATGCACACACACACACACACACACACACACACACACACACGCACGCACACACACACACACACATATGTATATACAGTATGTATGTATGTATTTATGTCCCTTATACACCATGATTTTCCCGTATTTTCCTTTTCTGAAGTTGGCAACTGTAATTAGTACTTAGTTAATTAGTAGTGTTAATGAATACTATAGTGATAAAAACCCATTCCTGGGGTCAAGTCTGGTATCCTGATTATTAGTGGCAAACATAACTAATACTGTTGGTTAGGAAGTTGATTAAAGATTTCATCTTTCATGTCAGTGTAACATATATCTTGTCAATTTAATGCATCATCAATAAAAATAGTTATAAATTTCCTTAAAAAACAACTTACTGGCCCCAGACTTTTGAATGATGGTGTATATTCTTCTATTATGAAGTGAAAACTTGTGAAGTGGAGTGAAGAGCCAAAGTATTGTACAAAACGAAGTCCCTTGGAGATTAAAATGATCTTTCAAATACTAACAAATACTGATCTTTTAAATAGCTCCACATTCTGACACATCTAAAATAATATGACTCATGGTGTCAAAGTATCCATGAATCAAAGTATGAATAGCATAGTATTTCCAGTCTGGAAAAGAAATAGGTCAGTCACCTTTTGTGTGTGTGTGTGTATGTACTTTGAGTAGAATATATTGTAGAATCAAGTTCTGCTAAAAATAAAAAGTTTTATTTGTTATTATTATTATCTTAACAGTGGGGGATGAACTGTTTGACACTCAGAACACATTTTATCTGTCTGCAACAGGGATTTCATAGCAAATTTATCTGAGCAGGTTCTCTATATTCCGATCTCTATTATATTTATGCATTTGGCAGATGCTTTTATCCAAAGTGACTTACATTGCATTTAAGGTATATACATTTCTATTAGTTATTGCATTACTTGGGAATTGAACCCATGACCTTGGCACTTGAAAGCACTTTGTGTTACTGTTTAAGCTACAGGAAGGCCTGTTAAGTCTTGCACATACACGTTCCGTCCGCATTACGTCATTTTTGTCATCAAGAGGGCTCGCTGACACCCCGTCCGTGTGCAGGCAATTTTTTGAGACCGCGCGGATGGTGCCCATACAGCAGCACATGCGCGAGGTGAATGTTGAGACAGAGTAAGTGGTACTGCACATGTGTCGAGCTCGTCAGTCCGTGCTCATCCGCAGTTTAGTATACTTTGAAAGCTGTGCGTGAAACAGAACGCGGAATGTGAAGTAAACCCGGGCCTTAAGTGTCACAGTCATTAACTTATTTTGTGTTTTCATTTAGTTTCTGTCGTTCTTTGATTAGTTCATTCAGTTCTCCTGTGTTTGATTAGTTATCATCCTCACCTGTCTGTCTCTCGTTATCTCACCCTACTCAAGTGCCTCTTTCAGTACTGTTAGCTGCCGGTTTATTAGTTGTGTATGCTGCTTGTGTTATCTTGGGTTTTGTATGAATCTTTATCATCTTGGATTACTATTAAAGGTGCTGTATGTAGGATTGACACCAAGTGGTTGAACTAGGTATTGCAGTCCAAATTCAAAATATTGGAGAGGGTTTTTGTCACCCGGTCCCTCCTCCTCAGACTTGACGCACACGCAGGTTCCCAGATTGACGACACCAACAGAAATGAGCGCTTTAAGCAGTCTCCATCTCTCAAATGCATCTCCAATATTTATTTTGCTTTTATTATACCGTTGTTGATCATAAAGTTTTTTGGATGGATGTCGAGGCTTTTTAGGATGGGCAGAAAGTTCTATTTCCCGCTCTGACCCCTTTCATTTGCCAGCTTCCATGACTGAAATTAAATACGCTGTGTTTCCCGCCAACTGGCAACCCGGGGTGTCGAAATACAATTGGGTTAACTGGCAGTGGGCGGGTTTCACAAATCAAAACAGAGACCGACATTCCGGCCCAGAAAGCACATTTTCAAAGAAGAATAACTGACTGTAGCATTGTTTTTCAGATAAACAAATATGTTAACTTAGCATGTTTCTTAAATATCTGCAAACATATTATGGTATTTTTATGCTTTAGTAGAGTCAAAAACGTACATACAGCACCTTTAAATGTTATTTAGCTTCCTTCCTAAGAGCGTGAAAATAAGCATGTGAAAGTCACAGTAATTATCTTACAGAAAAAAATGGATAAAAAATATTGTTGACTTACAAATTTCTGTCCAATAAAATAATGTCTAGAATGAATTTCCTCTTCCAATATTACTTTTAAATGATTGACTAGCAATAACTAGAAGTGAATTAAGTTTTTTTTTCTCCAAGCTGTGGTGTAAACTAAACCCCTAATGGCTATTTAAAAAAAAATAGTTTGATATCTCCCATCTTAACTTTCTGTTTCAGTAGGAATATATTAAAAGTAAATTGCATTTGTCAAACTATTTCTTGGGGATTTAAAATAAATGTTGTGCTTTCTTCACCAAGCAGCCAACGTTTTTATGACACTTTTTATTTCTTCAAAATACTTTTTCCCAGATAAACTTTATTCTTTTGTCATGTTTATGTATGTCATCTAAAATATATTGGCATCAGTCCATTTTAGCAGATTAGTGTCTCAACACTTCTTCACGACATTAGCCTGTTTATCCTGCAGTCTCTGTCTCAGCATGATCATTATCCAAGGAGAGATTCGTGAAACCCACTGCTGCCATTTCCCTAAGGAGTGATTTTCATGATACGGCTGGTTCATGGCAACTAAGGGATTGTTTTATCCTTCTATCACAACATTCTGTGTTAGATGTTAATTAAAGTTTTATTTATTTATTTGTTGTATTGTCATTTAAATGGCAGTATCGGTGTTGTATCTCTATAGTGCTTATATTAGACTTTTTATGTGTTTTAAAATCCCACACAGTAAGCTGCAAGGGTCCATAGAATATTTCAGAGAAAATGTGTAAAAAAATAATAAATAAAAAAAATGAACACATACATACATACATAATAATTTTTTAAAAATGGTCAAATTTCTTACATGAATCAAAATTATTTTATTCTGTTGGCAGACATCAGTTTTATGTTTCTGGTGGATCAAATAAGATACAAGATAATAAGATAAAACATTTTCCCCCAATATAAATGGGTCTTTATACATTAAATATAAAACTGTCTTAATATTTTAGAAACCCTTAAAACTTGCCTAATAAAACAATATATAAAGCATGTTCAAAACATTATTATTATTATTATTATTATTATCTAACCCTAAGTATTACACAGAAAAGCTCTGGCGAGCATCCAGAACATCCTTGGAATATGGTGGCAACAACTTAGAATTTCTTCAGAAAATTATGAAATCTAGTATAAAACAGCTGTTGCTACCATTGGTAACACTTTACTTGAAGGGGTGTGCATAAGATTGACATGACACCTTCATAATCATGACATGACACATGTCATGAATATGAAGAAGGTTTTATGCATGTTTATGACAACTGTCATTAAGTGTCATTCGCTCAGTTATGTCATTTGTAATGCAAATATGACATTATTTGACCTAACCCTAACCTAACCCTACCCTAACCCCTAACCATAGCCCATAACAAAGACATCTCAAACAATGTCATCTTTGCATTAAAAATTACATGAATGCGAATGACACTTAATGACAGTTGTCATAAACATGCATAAAAAACCCTTCATATTCATGACATGTGTCATGTCATGGTTATGTAGGTGTCATGTCATGATTATGAAGGTGTCATGTCAGTCTTATGCACACCCCTTCAAGTAAAGTGTAACCGAAAATGTGTAAAAAAATAATAAATAAAAAAAATGAACACATACATACATACATACATACATAATAATTTTTTAAAAATGGTCAAATTTCTTACATGAATCAAAATTATTTTATTCTGTTGGCAGACATCAGTTTTATGTTTCTGGTGGATCAAATAAGATACAAGATAATAAGATAAAACATTTTCCCCCAATATAAATGGGTCTTTATACATTAAATATAAAACTGTCTTAATATTTTAGAAACCCTTAAAACTTGCCTAATAAAACAATATATAAAGCATGTTCAAAACATTATTATTATTATTATTATTATTATCTAACCCTAAGTATTACACAGAAAAGCTCTGGCGAGCATCCAGAACATCCTTGGAATATGGTGGCAACAACTTAGAATTTCTTCAGAAAATTATGAAATCTAGTATAAAACAGCTGTTGCTACCATTGGTAACACTTTACTTGAAGGGGTGTGCATAAGATTGACATGACACCTTCATAATCATGACATGACACATGTCATGAATATGAAGAAGGTTTTATGCATGTTTATGACAACTGTCATTAAGTGTCATTCGCTCAGTTATGTCATTTGTAATGCAAATATGACATTATTTGACCTAACCCTAACCTAACCCTACCCTAACCCCTAACCATAGCCCATAACAAAGACATCTCAAACAATGTCATCTTTGCATTAAAAATTACATGAATGCGAATGACACTTAATGACAGTTGTCATAAACATGCATAAAAACCCTTCATATTCATGACATGTGTCATGTCATGGTTATGTAGGTGTCATGTCATGATTATGAAGGTGTCATGTCAGTCTTATGCACACCCCTTCAAGTAAAGTGTAACCCTACCATTTCATTCAACTACAGCTCTTTACACTGATAAAAACATTTTAATGTAACATTTATGTTTAATGTATATCCTCTCCTGGTTTATTGCTGTAGGTTTATATAGCAAGGTTTCGAAGAGCGTATACCTCTTCTTACAGTCTGAAGCGTTTGTATTCCCCTGTCTGGATGTCTTGAGTTCATAGGTAGTGCAGAGCTCTAGCCGACTCCTCCCTGGGGCTTTCTCTGGTAGAGAGGATGCTTGTGCGGGTGGAAGTAAATAGGGCCTGACAGTGCAGTCACTGCTCAGTGCACTGCCCACTCCACATCGGGCCTAATGCAAAACTGCAGACACCCACTGTCCCCTGCGCTGCTAAATTCACCACCGGCACTCAGACAGTGGAAACAGCACAGCAGACAGGTCAATTACAGCCCTACAGTGCCTATTGCGAACCTTTAAACTCTTAAAAAAGACTGAAGGCTGTTCAATTCAACCTTTTTGGAGTTAGCAAAAGAATCCCAAATACATGTAACAATGTACATGTCTCTGTTTTTCATTTAAAGGGGAAGTAAAGACAAAATATTTGTCATTAAAGTCAACCCGTACATGCCAGACAAACTGATAACCGCTGGAGTGAAACACATGAAGTTTTGGCATAGAGCAGGTAAGACTATGGCTATGTCCGCATTAATCTGGATATATTTGAAAATTATGCTTTCGTTTAAAAACCTTCTCCGTCCACAGAGTTTTTAAGCATTTTCCAAAAGTTGCTCATTCACAATGACGGCATTCCATGTATGGTCTTAGGGGGGCGTTTACACAACACCATTTTCACCAAAAAACGTACATTTATTTTTATGTATTTTGACTATTCGTTTACATGACAACAACATTTTTGGCCTGAAAATGCAAACTTTTGTAAATGGGTTTCAAAGTGTATGTTTTTGAAAACTATACTGTTATCGTCTCCGTGTAAACTACAAAAACACAAATTTGTGAAAAAGACGATGTCGTGCGCATACATATTACGTGTTTGCGTGACATCGCCAACTACTGGCCTGGCATGCATAATACAGCATTTTAAGTTGTTTTTACAAATCCATGTGAACAGGGTCATCTGTAAAACGTAACAATTTTTAGCATATCTTTGTCGTGTAAACTTACACTAAAATGCAACTGTCATCCTCTTTTGCCACAGGGCAGCAATTGCGAGTAAATATTGTGTCAATTTTGCAGAAATGTAATAAGAAGATTATCTTTGGCAAAGTGAATAACAAGCACAACACTGTGGTACAAACATATACAGTGGGTACGGAAAGTATTCAGACCCCCTTAAATTTTTAACTTTTTGTTATATTGCAGCCATTTGCTAAAATCATTTAAGTTATTTTTTTTTCCTCATTAATGTACACACAGCACCCATATTGACAGAAAAACACAGAATTGTTGACATTTTTGCAGATTTATTAAAAAAGAAAAACTGAAATATCACATGGTCCTAAGTATTCAGACCCTTTGCTGTGACACTCATATATTTAACTCAGGTGCTGTCCATTTCTTCTGATCATCCTTGAGATCGTTCTACACCTTCATTGGAGTCCAGCTGTGTTTGATTATACTGATTGGACTTGATTAGCAAAGCCACACACCTGTCTATATAAGACATTACCGTTTTTGAATACGTCTTATTTTTACAGTCCACACTACAGCATGTCCACTTGGAAGAGCATCTTCAAAAAAGGTGGACGATGTCTTAGTGTGGACAAAAGGCCAAAACTTAGAGGAAAAGATGTGTTTTCAAATTTATCCGGACATCTTGTGAACCTCTTGTGGCGTATGTAAATGAATGTACACTTCTACTGCCAGAGATCACCTCACAAACCTTTGCTGTTCTCAGGTGGTGGACTGATTGGGAAGAAGGGCAGCATGGGAAAAACTGAAACCATGATGTGTGCAGTGTACGGCTGGACGGAAGAAATGGTGTTCTCAGGAACCTGCACGGGAGACATCTGCATCTGGAGAGATATGTTCCTGGTGAAAACCGTCAAAGCTCATGATGGGCCGGTGTTTAGCATGCACGCCCTGGAGAAGGTATCAGATTTAGCTTCAAGTAGGAAACAGCATGGAGTTACTATCCCTTTAAATATTTCCGAAATATAATGTGAATGTATTGTTGCTAAGGGTTTTGTGACTGGTGGAAAGGATGGAATAGTGGCTTTGTGGGACGACACGTTTGAGAGATGCCTCAAGACGTATGCCATAAAACGAGCGGTGCTGGCCCCAGGCTCCAAAGGTGAGGACATCCCTTGCATTATTTCAAAGACAATTTAGATATCACAGATGAGACACCTCATACACTGTGAAAATAATATTAATATCTATCTATCTATCTATCTATCTATCTATCTATCTATCTATCTATCTATCTATCTATCTATCTATCTATCTATCTATCAGTGTGAATAACTTACGCGATTAAAGCCATTCAGGTCAAATACCTGCATGTATTCTCTAAAAACATTTGGTGTGTTTATTAAATAGAAAGCTGAGGTCATGGATGTGTGTTTATTTATAACACGTCCCTTCCTGCAGGTTTGCTTTTAGAGGACAACCCCTCCATTCGTGCCATATCTTTGGGTCATGGGCATATTCTTGTAGGAACAAAGAACGGAGAGATTCTGGAGGTGGAAAAAAATGGGCCCATAACTCTTCTGGTTCAGGTAAAGCACAGATTCAGCTGTCAGATTTGCTTGACAAGCCATGAGACATGAACATTTTGGGACACTCTGAGAAGTAAGACAAGGGCTGACGGATTTATTTCGGTTGGTCTTGTTGATTCATTAAACAGGTCTTTTCAAGTCTTACCCTCAAGCTGCCTGTCATGTTACATAAACTTTGCATCCCTGGATGTGAACCTACATGAATGCAGAAATTAGTTTAGGATGGGTGTCTTGGTCGTGAATTACACGTTTAAAAAGGGCAATTTCTCAGTCACTTCAATCATGCGTGTAAGTAATCATATGAATAAAATTCAAAACTTGAATACAACGATTGACTGAATTGCAGTTTAAGAATGATGTGATGTTTTTGATTGCTTCATTTAAAAAATAACTAGAATTTCATGAGAAATTAAATAGAGTTTTGCTATTTAATTATTAGGGTGTTCTGGATGGTTGCCAGGTTACTTACTGCTCTAAAAGGCTGAAATACAGTACCTGACTTTTGCCCAGATTTTTGCCCCCGATTTACAGTCAGGACAAGTTGGCGCTAGCTGCCGAAAGTCAGACAACTCTGCAGATTTAAGTTGATGGATTTAATAGAAAATCACGTAGTGTATGATGGTCACTTTTAGCATCAGGCTATGATTCCCTCCAGTCAGAGGAGATCAAGCATGTTTGCTATTTTGAGCCGACATAAAAACACATATGTTTTCATTTGTCATGTGTTCATGTGTTCATTTGTCACTTGACACAGAGTTCTTCAGCAATGTTTAGCTGAATAGAACACAGAAGTAGCAAGAAACAGATGCAGTGGCGCAGTAATACTGGTGTTTATAGGTCACAGGTGTGTGTTGAAAGAGTATTTTACAACTTTGAACAACTCAGCCAATCATTAGACAAGTACCGGAACTATCTGTTTTATAATGCATGATTACTGTCATACCTTGTGCAAGGTATGCATGAAGGCTTTATATTCGTCATATTCAAAAAAGCCTCTCTGATATGTCTGACACTACCTACTTCTGTTCACTGTGACAGTGAGCTGGTAATATGTATTACACAACCATTAAAAAAAAAAAGTTAAATCCCCATAACAGTTAATCTATTAAATTCACAACACAGTAGGTCTTTAAATCTGAGGCATAATGATCTTTGCAAGAGAAAATAAAACTCTATCGAAACCTTCTTTAGAAGATTGATGTTTCATTGGTTGATTTATGGTTTATGGTTTATACCGAATCCTATTAGTATAGTAATTTTTTTCTAATATATACAGTGGTTTCAAGGCATCTTTTCATAATGTTTAGATTTATGGTTTTCACTAAGGTTTTTTTGAGTTTTGAATGGGCCTTTCTGTTTAATTTAGTTTGAACCATTTAATGTTCTTCAGCTGTTTAGAACAGACTTTTAGAAATTTCAGTCTTGAGTATGCCATCTGTTTTTGTCTTTAAAGGGGTCATATGATGTTGCTAAAAAGAACATTATTTGGTGTATTTGGTGTAATGAAATGTGTTTATGCGGTATAAGGTTAAAAAAACACATTATTTTCCACATACACACATACCACATACCCCGCCTTTCTGAAACGTGTCGATTTTTACAAAGCTCATCGGTCTGAAAAGTGAGGTGTGCTGTGATTGGCCAGCTATCCAGTACGTTGTGATTGGCCGAATACCTCAAGCGTGTGACGGAAATTTTACGTCCCTTAACATACTGTGATGCCATGTCCAGCCGGAGCGACGAGACAAAAACATTAAAACCCATTATAAACGAGGCATTTGTTGCATCCAGTGGGGACATAATTACGGATTATAATGACTTATATTGTCTTTTTACGCATTGCGTTGCGTAAAAAGACAATATAAGTTATGTTTAAAACGCAATATAAGTTGCGTTTTAAACATAAAACCATGTCTGCATTTGTGATTGGAAAAATGACAAACAACAAGCCCTACTCTACACTGCTCAAAACTTGTGTTTGAATCATCAGTGGCAAATGCTTTAAATATAAAAAACGTACTTACAGTCTGTGAGTCAGAACAGCCGGTATTGTAGTCTACTCTCCCAGGATCAGGAAACAGTCCTCCATAAAATGCGCTGCACACATCTGAATATTTGGGTTGAACTGTTCTGGAACAGTGTTGTAAATACAACTTAACCACTGATTTCTAGTCGTGGCAAAGGAAAAAATTAAATCGCATCATATGACCCCTTTAAAAACGTTGGTCATACTTTTTAAGAAACAGAGAATTTATTTACATTTGAAATACAATTAAATTAATATTGCCCTTTCACTTACATTGTTAGAATGTTTTATTTAAAATTTAGATTACAGCAAGTATTGTAATATTTGCATACTGTGATAGGTGTTCTGCCTGTTTGAATACAAAATTGTGCAAAATACATCTAATTAACCACATGTATTGCATATACCCGTCGCCTACTACCTGTACTTGATTTTTTTTAAACTCTTTTCTCAATTTTGTTGTAAACAGTGGTATTTTCTTCTAGAAATACAAATCTACTTTTTAAAAACTCTTTTTCCGTATAGCAGCACCTGTAAATGACCCTGATAATTGAATGAGACCCCTCCCCCCCACCACTGAACCACTTTGTGGTGTTGTGTTCTGCACAAGTGTTCAGAGACAAACAAAATGGTCAGAGGCTGTGGTTATGTAATAAATGGTAAATGGCAGTAACTGCAGACTGGACAAAAATAGTGTCAGGCACAGTAATTGATTACAGGTTGGTGCTTGTAATTGAAGTCATTAGTTACCTACTAAATGTTATATATCAGTTGGTGCAAACCCTCCATTGCTTTTTGTGAGCTTGTTATTTTGTCAAGCGATTATTAGGATGTAGAAATGAACAAAAACAAAAACAACAACAAAACTACATTAAGCAAGTAAATGCACTTAGTCATATATAGATTTTTATAGGTCCTACTTGCTGCTAGAATTTTTTTAGCTTGATTGAATTCTCATTTATTGCACTCTGAAATGCTTTTGCGGAAATCCTTTTATGGATCCTTTGGGTGCATCAGTTTATGGAGAATAAACTGAGGGGATATTCTCTAAAATTAATTGTGCATGCTGACAGTATTATTTATTTGCATGTGGATTATTTTAGCATCTGATTCACTTAAAAAACAAAAAACAAAAAAAACAAATCAGGTATAGCCGCAAAGAATTTGAGGAGGATATGGCAGACTTCCATGATTTGACATACTGGGACTGTACAGCATCACTCCACCACTGTGTTCCAGACTCCTGAATCAGCTCTCTAACACCATGTGTCTGATATATGCCCAGTTATAATGGTCTTCTCCATTATTTTGTATAAATTACTGCCACCATGCTCACTAGAAAAATGTAGATGTACTCTTTTAAATCAAATTTCTCAGGCGGTAAAAGCGTGATGTTATTTGCTCACTTTACAGTCTGTCATGAGCATAATAAAGTAGATGTGTTTGTGCTGAAATGACAGTTATGTTAATGTGTTAGCAGCATATATTAAATAGTGTGTGTGTGTGGACTGTATTTAGGTGCGCTTGAGCTTGCGGTCACAAACTGATGGCCGGACATTCTTCAGGATTTTCTGATAGAGTGCAGAATTCATGGTTCCGTCAATTATAGCAAGGTGTCCAGGTCCTGAAGCTGCAAAACAGCCCCAGATCATCACACTATCACCACCATGTTTGACTGTTGGTATGATGTTCTTTTTATGAAATGCTGTGTTGGTTTTACGCCAGATATAACGGGACACACACCTTCCAAAAAGTTCAACTTTTGTCTCATCAGTCCACAGAATATTTGCCCAAAAGTCTTGGGGATAATCAAGATATTTTTTGGCAAATGAGAGACGAGCCTTTGTGTTCTTTTTGGTCAGCAGTGGCTTTTGCCTTGGAACTCTCCCATGGATGCTGTTTTTGCCCATTCTCTTTCTTTTTGTTGAACAATGAACACTTACCTTAATTGAGGCAAGTGAGGCCTGCAGTTCTTTAGATGTTGTTCTGGGTTCTTTTATGACCTCTTGGATGAGTCGTCGTTGTGCTCTTGGGAGTGATTTTGGTTGGCCGGCAACTCCTGGGAAGGTTCACCATTGTTCCAAGTTTTCTCAATTTGTGGATAATGGCTCTGACCATGGTTCGCTGGAGTCCCAAAGCCTTCGAAATGGCTTTATAATCCTTTCCAGACTGATACATGTCAACTGTTTTGATTCTGATCTGTTCTTGAATTTCTTTAGATCGCGGCATGATGTGTTGCTCTTTAAGCATGCTTCACTTTGTCAGACAGGTTCTATTTAAGTGATTTCTTGATTCAACAGGTCTGGCAGTAATCAGGCCTGGGTGTGGCTAGTGAAATTTAACTCAGCTTTCTAAAATAATGTGGTTAATTGCAGTTCTTTCATGATTTAACAGGAGGGGGCAATTAATTTTTCACGTAGGGCCACGTAGGTTTGGACAGCTTTTTTCCCTTAATAAATGAAATCATCATTTAAAAACTGCATTTTGTATTTACTTGCATTATCTTTGTGTAATATTTAAATTTGTTTGATGATCTGAAACATTAAAGTGTGACAAACATGCAAAAAAATAAGAAATCAGGAAGGGGGCCAACACTTTTTCACACCACTTTTTGTACCATGCTGTAAACATATTTTTTTCTGCTGTAAATTTGGGCATTTTATCATGGGGAGTCTATGGGATTGACTCCCTTTTGGAGCCAGCCTCTAGCGGCCAGTCGATGAATTGCAGTTTTAGTCACTTCCGTGTTGGTTTCACGAGAGAGACCGGAAGGTTGCCGCTTGGTTACACTTTATTTTAATGTTTCCTTGTTGCAGTGTAATTATCCAAGTACTGAACGATATTATTAACAGCGTGTACTTGCTATAGGTTTAGGATTAGGAATTTTAATTTACACTTTATTTTAAGATGTCCTTGGTGCAGTGTATTTATACATATAAGTACTGAGTAGTATCTAACTACATGTGCTTACTGTATGGTTAGGGTTAGGATTT